CGCGTCCGTTCCGCCCCGAAGCGTAACCCCCGGTTGGTCTGTGTGATCCGGCGCTGCGGTGTCCTGCCTTTTCGGCACCCCCCGGGAGACCTCGCCGCCGCAGCCAAGCGCGCCAGAGGCTGAGGGTTCTGCGGTGGACGTCCGTGGTGTGGAGACCCGGGAGCGGTGGGGGACGTGGCAGTCCCCAGGGGAGCGGGCACGTGTCGTGATGCTCTTGGGACAACGGTATCTTGGCGGCTTGCCTATCCTAAAACTTGACCTACCTTCAGTTTTAAGGGTCCCTTTAGTTGCCCGTGGCGCCTTTGCTTAGATGGAGGCTCCCAAGGTGACTGGTCTGAGCAGTTTGGCTAGTCACCTCCCCATAATCCGCTTTCTGCCCCAAATCTTCCAGTATGTTTATGGCCTTTTTTCTCGTTGATTTTCAGTGTTCATGGCACCAGTGACAGGATTGCCACTGTTGTCGTCAGTGCCTCCGCAGAAGTGCCAGTGCTGTGCAGGTGCCTTGTCATCAGCATCCTAGATTTTAAAAAACATCTTGTACTTTGCTGCTTGGCAGAGCTTTTGTAATTTGGCAGGAGCTATGGTTTCAGAGAGTGATTCAGAACAGGGAGCCACACCTGTACTTACAGGTGGGTGAATGCGTAATTCAGCCACGACATAGAGGAAACGGTTATTATTGTAACCTTAGTGTTGATCAAATGTGTCATCTTGACAACAGTCAAAAGTGGAATGCTGAATATATGCCATCGAGGAAGATGGAAAGAAAAAAGGGTATAGACAGTGGATGCTTGAGGTTCTTACAAAATTTCATACTGGAAGTAGTATATCTGGAGTTACCCAAGTGCTTTATCCTTCGCGTCCATTAATACTCCTTAATTCGGAGCATTAGTATAGCTGCATGTAGTCCGTTTGTATCGGTGCTCAAGCTGGCTATAGTACTTTCAGAAAGGAGGTTAAGCGTTCTGCTGAAACTTCCAACAAGCTTAATGTGAAAAGAGGTTTTTCTTGTGTGAGGTTTGGAATGAGGGAGACCATTTCACAGAGACGCCTGCAAAGACACTAGATGTGGGTGACCCTATGGTACTGTTGACCAACACCCACCATGTGAGCTGTTGGTGTCTAAATAATGGGCACTGTAGTTTATGTCCAGTATTCTGAGCTACTTAACTCCTTAGGTACTACGGTTTCAGGAGATCTTAATGTTAGGATGACTTATTAGCCTAACAGGCTGAACATGAGCTTCCCCTTACGATTTTTTGGCTAAGTAAGAGCTGTGAGGCAATGTTACCTCTATATATGGCAGTAACAAGCCATTTCTGGTGTGTGTGATGGAAAGGGATGATGATGAACTGGAAAGGGTTCAGAAAAAAACTGCAGAAGTATTTAGACCTCTGGAAACTGGATTGTTCTGAGTGAGGTAAACCAAGTAGGTTGAGCTGCTTATCAGGAAGTGTCAAGAGGTGCTTGTATCAGATTATAACTATCCTTGCAAGGAGAAGAAAGCAACTCATTAGCAAATAGGGGTAAAGCAAGATTCAGTGAGAGGAATTTGAAACCGGATGTTCTCAAATTAGAAATAAGGCACATTCTGTAGTGTACTAATGTAGCTGAAGAGTATGGCGTTGATTATGTCTCTTCAAAACTTGTAAAAGTCTAAAGAATATTCGCTAGGAAATAAAAGTTTTACATGGAAGGCCAGACCAGAGGTTTTATTAGTATGCCTGTGAATGGCATCACTAAATCTTTACCCTTCCCCAGAAAGGCATACTACTAAGCGCAAGCTATGCTTGCAAAGTATCTTTTATTCCTGCTACAAACCGGAATAAATCCTGTATGCTGGCTTGAAAGAGATTTAAAAAGTAGGTATTGGCTCATTTACACAGTAATAATTAGATGTGTCTCAAATTAGCTAAGAAGTTTCCTAATATTCACTGTGATGTTAGTAAATAGGATTTGCATGATGTTGTTTTTTTCTTGAGATGATATGCTACTACTCTTCGATCTTTACATATAATCCATTGACTGCAGGGCTATTCCCTGTCTGAATGAATATTGTAAATCATTCCCAGAATTTTAGAAAGGCAAATTTATCGGGTGCATGTAAATTTCTTTTTAAACAGTCTTCCCTTAGGTGTTCTCTTTCTCCATTGTCTGTCTCAGCAGAGTTTGCTATGTGCACAGGTGTGCTGCTAGTGCTTGAGAGGACTGATTAGTACCAGCTGACATCGCACATAGTTTGGTATCCCATGATACTGGACTGTTATTTGGCTGCATAGATCTTCCATTTAATCCCTGGCCACAGCTAGAACCGTTTTTTAGTATTACTACAATAGTGAAAAAAAAGGGGGGCGGGGAAGTGCAAGTAATGTGCTCAGTCCTGTGCCCTGCAAAATAAAAATATATTCTACTAAGTCAAACTATAGAAACTATACTTAAGATATATACAAAACATTTTTGATAACAAATATTTGAAAAATTAGAATGTGTATGATGAATAGATTCAGATACTGAAATTTGGTTTTAGAACATGCAGCATTCCCATTTAAGTGAATGAGAATTCTGCCTGCATAAGCTGAACCCAGACCCAAGTAATAACAAAATACCTGCTGCAGAAAGATCAGATAACTGTAGTCTGGATTCTTTCCCAGGTTCTTCCTTTATCTACCAGTGTGCTGGGTCTAGTTATTCACTGCTGAAATCAATAAGTGCATAGCATTGATTATGGTTGGAACAAGTCTGAACACAGTATTTGAGCAACAAGAAACCTTAATTTTATGAATCCTTATGCCTGTTTAACATAAAGTTGATATGTGCATCTTAAATCTGTATGGATGTGCTGTTCAAAGTTAATGGTAATTCATGGTTTTTGTAAGACTGTGACCTTGGACTATAAAAGTGATAATGGTTGAATATTATTTCAAAATGTGTCATTGCATAGTTCACTGTGATGGCTTAGTGTTTTGCAGTATAGATCTGTTTTAGCAGAAAGAATTTGCCTTGACTAATTTTCTTTTGTTTTTCAGGAAAAGAAATGGAGCAAGTTCAGTAACTATCCAGTCTAATCTCTTACTGATACCTTAAGGAATCTTACAAATACTTATTTTGAATTGAGAAAATGACTACAGATATAGAAGAAAGCACAGGTTATTGGAAAAGAATACCTGTCAAAAAGTGGAACATCCAATAGCTAATTTGGAAGTAGTAGAAAACAAATATACCTGTTATGGTGCGATTCTGGAGTGGAGTTAACTCTGTAGCACACAAGTAGCTCTCCAAGGAGAAAAAGAACCAACAGAGCTTTCTGTTTTTCTAAATTATGGAAATTTTTTGGAAGACGTGGACATGGATTTTGAGCCTAGTCATGGTTTCATCGGAATTTCACAGTGACAACAGGCTTTCGTATAGTTCTCAAGGTAGGGGTCTGACCTCTGTAGCTGACAAGAAGCGTCTGTTTTTTTCAATTGCATTTGGGTAATATTTTCTAAACCGTATTTATTTAATTCACGCAATCATATGGGCTCTGCTCTTAGTTTTATCATGCTTCATTGTCATGGAAGTTTAAATACAGCAAATCTGATTAAATTTTTTGTTTTAGTTTCTTTCTGTCTACTTTTAACTGTAGGAAAGCCTTGCAAATTAAGTCTAGTAAAATGTTGTACTTGATAATAGTTTAGAGACTTGCCATAACGACATTAACATGTTTTTAGACTAGGAAGTAAGGATCTAATCTTACTCTGATCCATTAACATTTATAGGTTTTTAATGAAATGAAGAGCCGTTTACATGTTTTTACAATGTAATAGTTTTCATTACTACTGTTCTTATTCTTGCAGGTGGATCTAATAGCTTTTGTCTCTGAATGATGTCACTGAGAAGAATGTGTCCTCCTTAGGTTAGAATTTAGCCCCAAATGTTTACGTATTTTGGGTAAATAGGAAAAGATACGTAGTTAAACCTTTTTGTATTTCCAGTGACATCAAATTAATAGGAAACTGAACACATTTTCTTGACTTAAAAAAAGTTTTGTTTTATTTAGCAAAACGCTACATCTTGCATTTACTTGAAAATGACTTCTACTTGTCAGGGTGATGAGATTTAGCCAAGTATGGTTTATGTTTATACTACTACTTGTTGTTTCCTGTTATATTTTCTTCTCTTCTATGCCCACTCCCTGGACTGTCTTACCTTGTGATTACAAAGAGGAATTCCTGTCTTACCTTGAACACTACCAACTAACAATCCCAGTAAGGGTTGACCAAAATGGAGCCTTCCTCAGCTTTACTGTGAAAAATGCTAAACCCTCAAGAAGGAGGAGGAGCACAGACCCTTATGACCAAGAACTGGCAACATCTAAATTATTTTTTAAACTTTCTGCCTATGGCAAGCACTTTCATTTAAACCTGACTCTCAACACAGATTTGGTGTCCAGACATTTTACAGTAGAATACTGGGGGAAAGATGGACCTCAATGGAAGCATGATTTTTTAGACCACTGTCATTACACAGGATTTTTGCAAGACCAACACAGTACAACTAAAGTGGCCTTAAGCAACTGCAATGGTCTGGTAAGTGCACATTACATGTTCTAGTATAATAGTGTGCTTGTCCCTTTTAAATTACAGAAGAACAACTTAATTGGCATATCTTCCAGTTTTTTTGAGTCCCTCCGGGAAGCAAGCAGACAGGAAGGTGCAGAAAACCCCTAAAACCTGATCTGGGTCCTGGGGAAAAGTAGTCCTCAGTTTTTCAAGCTTAATTGTAAGTACTGAGACTCAATTCTGTAGTCCTTTAGCAGGCAACGTTGTCATTGTTTACAGTGTCTGTGCTAGGCCTGCAAGGTTAGGTCTGTGCTGGGACTCTTACAGGTTATAAAAAATGTTGCGAGCTCAAGGGGCAGAGGAGGAAACAGTGGGTCCTTTAGGATGCTGAATCTCTCCAGAGCAACATCGATTGAACTGAACACCCTCTTGTTGTCTTTGAGAATTTGGGTTTAGAAACTTTGAGTAAATAACAGAGAAGAGGAATTGCTTCGTGCAGAAGTCGTCATTGCTATAAATTCCCAAGAGTGAAGAGGAAAGTAGATCCTTTGCAAGTACCAGCATCAGAAAGTAATTGTTTACCTCTTTTTAGATTTTTTTTTTCCAAAATTGTAAACAGTTGCATTTAAAAATAGGATTAGAAATTCTTGCCTGTTTTATTCTCATCTCTTCTTTTACTGTTGATCTCTTGATCACTTGATGGTAGTACTTGCATGGGAAAAAGCTGCTTTTATTCCCAACAGAAATTAGAAAACAAATGCAAAAAATGAGAAAACAGGCTATTTAGTAATAAAATACTAAAATAGAAGGGCATGACTAGGAAATACTAAATCAAGAGTCAGTAATTTCTCTAGTAAAAATATATGTATATATTAGGGTTATTTATTCTGGTTTTAATTATGGTAGAACACTGGCCAATCTTCTTTTTAGGAATAGACAGATCTAAGTAATTGCTAAGGAAAAAAAAAAGATTATACAGGCTTGCTAAACTAATTTCTGTTTATCCTTGAAAGTGCTATTGAATAATGCATCTTGGGATGTTATTCACAACAAAAGCCAGTTGCTTCAGACCTAGATAGGTTGCGTTACACCCAGCTACTTGTGATAGCTGTGATACAGTCTAGGTTAACATTTTGGAGTACTCTTGAGGAAAAATAATTTAATGGAGATTTCCAGGGCTAAGTGAATACTTTCAAAGAAATGTGGTTAAATTGGTTTTCCATCGAGTGTGGTATCACAGTTTGGTTAATGCAGACTTGTAGTGGGTAGGTCTGAATTTAGTACAATTTTCACCTTGATTTTGCAGTTCCCGTGTAATAACTTTTTCTCACAGTTATTTGAGATCTTAAGGTAATATACACAATCATTTTGCTTTTGGGTTCTTTTCAGCTAAAAATACTACGACCGCCAAATCACTGCTTTCAGGACTCACTTTAAAAGAGGCTGCATGCCTCTGTTGTCTCCAGAGTTTATGCCAGTCGAGGCACAGACTGGTTGGCCCCCTTGGAGCCTGCAGTCAGTGCCGGGGTGCTCCCATTTCGGTTCCTCTATGACCTTGACCTGGGAGTGAGCTGAGTGATCCAAGAATGCCTGCTCTTTCCTTAGCTGACTCATGTTTTCCTTTGGCATTCGGAAAATAAGAGCGGGATGAAGCAGGAAAAAAATCCGTGTTTTCCTATCAGCTTTGCCCATCTCTCGCTCCTTATGGCACATCTTTTCTTTGAAGAATTTAGCAGCATAGAAGGTGACCTGGTGGAGCAGAATCTTTTTTTTTGCTTTTTTACCTTACACCCTGAGGTGACATTTAGCATTCCTATTTCTGTGTGTTTTCCCTCTGCCCTCAGCCTTGTGGTTTTGCTGGAGAGAAACCTCCTGTTGTTGTGTGGTTCTAGATGTCAGTATGCTAACTTAGTGTTTGTAAGTTTAGCGTGGAATGCTTTCCAGTTAAATTGTCATCTTCTGTGCTTTTAGTTGTTGTCAGCTCTTACGTATTTCTTTCAGATATGAAGGCAGCCTTAACCCAGTCTCTGGGCACACCACTGGCACTATGGTGTTCTTCATGGTCATGCCTCTTACTTGGGACTGCAAGTGTCAGGTGTCCACTGAATCTCCTAGAAAGGCCTAGTCACAAGGATGTGAGGCTCCTGTCGTGCTACAAAAGCAGCAGCAGGGGTGACACAAGGCCCTGTCTTAGAGGGAATCCTGCAGAGTGGTGCAGTGGTAGGCTTGAGTCAGTACCCTCTTCTGAAGTACAGATACTTTTCTGTCATCCAGTGTTGGCCGGGCCTTCCAGAGCACTGAGTATGGGAGTTACCACTCCATTCAGATAAATTCGTCACAGAGTTATTTTTAAATGATGATTCCTACTGACAAATATTTTGTTATACAGCTGCCAGTTAGAACATGTTCAATAAAGCAATTGGCAGTGAATATTGAAGACAATACTACTTGTTTTAGAATTAGTGATGTTTCAGAATATGTCGTGCTTGAGGCATTCGTTCTGTTTTCCAGTCTGATTGTTGGTCTGTAAGAAACTGCCAGTCACATTCTGCATAGTCCTTGATTAACATCTGTCTCAAAGCCAGTCATTTTAAGTTTAATTCTGAAACAAGTAGTAATCTTTATCAGTGAGTGTTGCTCACAAGCAAAATTTAAGCATTCCATTTATTCTGGTTGTCTTGCTAGGCTTCAGTATTGCCAAATGGGTCAAATTTCTTCCCCTTAGTGACTGTTTTGAGTTACTCTGTTTAGTTGTTCAGGGTGGTCAGGTGGGACCATGATCTAATTGACATAAGTTGTATGACTTTGAAGGGCACTTGTGGTATCTGAGGTGAGTTCTAGTGCAAGAAGGGCTTTCTCTCAGTTTCATTGTGATAAAAGTGATGAGCAGTCGGTTCTTTTCCCTGTCACTGTTTCCTGTTTCAGCCTCTCCCTCTATATTTCTCATTACCACGTGCTCCAGAATTACAAGCTGCTACTTACTGAAGTTTCATTCCAGCAGTTTCCATCTGTTGGGCTCTGATTATGCTATAAATTTTCTGAAGTTATGAGGAAAGCTCTATAATCCAGTGAGCAGTCACGTGAGGAAACTGAAGGTCTTGTCCAGCAGGTTTGCTGGCTTCCAAACTTGTATTTGCTGTACTGGATGTTACATTTGTGGGTGGATTGCAGGTTTGGCCCTCTGATGAAAGAGCCTGCAACGGGCAGCATTTTGGGGCCCTTGGATGTTGGGTGCAAGGCAACAAGGCTGAGGCATTGTTGAAGAAACAGAGGTAGACGTGACTGAAGGGAGTACTTCTCCTCAAGGGAAAGAAGTTTCTGAGGGGAGCAAGTCTTAAAGCTTTGGAGCTTATAGTAGTGGAATCGAGCAGAAACCAAACCTTTTTCATTCTGACCCACCTCTGTCCTCTGCCAGGTGTCAAAGCACTTCACTGAGTGCGCAGACAAATTTTCGACACTAGTGGATTTTCTCATTTTGAGCTGAAAAGCTTAGTAGTGGGAAATACTTTAAAATGTGTAGAAAGTGATAATTATTAGGAAAGTGAATGAGAGGTTAAATCACATTTTGAGGCTACTGTGGTTCCAAGGAAATGTTTAATGTAAAAGACCAAGTATTTCAATGGCATGTGAAGTTCTATGCACTGAGTAACTTTGTGCTGGGTAGCACAAATGTCTCCAAACAGAAATGATAAAGAAAAGACGGGAAGTAGGCTGTGGCTGGAAGCGTGACCTTACTTGGTTAAAGGTGGAATTATTTTGCTGGAAGGCTTCATGTTTGTTTCACATATTCTGAAATTCATATATGTATAAATTATTCATATTCTCCTTAAATGAGCTCATATGAAAGCTAATTCTACTATAAAGAATGCATCTACTTTTATAGATTATAAATTGCATATAGTATGGGATTTTTTGAATTGCATATAAAATAATGCCTAATTTATAAAATAATTTATAAAGATTAGAAATGATATTGAAAAGGATTTGGTGTTCTAGATCAGTGTCTTTGGAGCTCTCTTTGGTACTAATGTATTTGCAGTATAGACTTAGTATTCAGAAAATTATATATCAACTTCCCTGTCCTAGTTTTAAGGTGACTTGTTAGATTCCATGATGTACTGTCTCAGGCCAGATTACTGTTTTTTTTTCATCTTTAAAAACACGGTAAGCTAATGCAATCTTTTTCCTCAGTCATAAAACCACACTGAAGTGTATAACCAGCTGTAGACATACTGAACAACACTGGTACGTTTTCAGAAGTGTCCTTTACTACTATGGATAAAGCATAAAGTATAGAAAGATTCAAGGCATGCAGAAATTGTAAAACAGTAGTACTGTGTGGAAAAGGCACATGCTTACTTGTCCTTCATAATTCAGTTTTCTTCTGCAACTGATGGACATCCCTCATCTGAAAGAGGTTAAGGCTCCAGCTGGACAGCCTGACAGAAAAAGATTCCTTTTTACAAATTCAGGGGAACTCCATGTGAATTCACAGATTTGTCTGAGCATGTCAAACTGCTTGATCCAGACCTTATCTATGTTAGCAGGAGTTGGCAGTCTGTAGTGGGATTGGATAACACAGGACCTCAAACAATCTGTTTTAGATAATAATCTTGGGAGTGTTGCTTGTAATAACCTACTTGGGGCATTCAGCTTGTTTCTTAAATTCACGATATTTTGTCAAAATGTTTTGCTGGTCATTCTTATATCTTAATCATGTTTCTTATGCTTCGGAGCAGAAGTTTAATTTACAAACTGTTCAAATACAATAGCAAAACTAAAAAAAATTCAATTCCTTTTAGTGCTTTAAAAGAAGATTATTTCAATCTCCTTTTTCAACTAAAATTGTGTTTCACTCAAATAGTAGATTATAATTCAAAACCAGGGTTTAGAATGTTGGTTTGGATATAATAGCATAACTCCCACTATTTATACTATGGATGTGTATACAATGGAAGTATTTCTAGCCACATGCATTTTCTAAACTCATAACAAATGCTAGTTGTCACTGATGTAGGCACTTTATATGTACAGAATTCAGAATGCTGCTTAAAAATCAGTCACTGTGATTCAACAAGACAAGTTGCACCAGTTTAATACTGGAAGAACAGTTTTGTTTGCAAGCAAAACGAGTATGTTAGGTTTAAAATGGTATACTTATGCTGGGCAAGAGCGTTTCCAATATTTGTCAAATCACTTGGCTAGCCGCAGCAACTGACTGCATACGTGTTCTGACTACCTGCTGGTACCTCAACTAGACGTTATTAAAATCTCTCTTTCCTTGAACCGCCATAGCGTTTGGGTATAGAAAAAATTAGTGATATTCTCCTGACCTTTTTCACTGCTGGTACCTGAAGGAGCTGTGATCATAGTTTGCAGGCATTCATAATAGTTTTACAATGTGTATAGAGAATTAATGCTGCAATTAAACTTTGTTTATGGCATCTGAATTGACTTACTCCCGCTGAGGTCATCTCAAAGCTTAAAACGATCAGTTTCAGTGTCTGATATAAATGTCTCATTCATGCTTAGACTTGTTAACCTGGCTGGACTTGAGTACAGACATGATGGATGTATGCTCTGAAGTAAGCAGTTTTAGGTTAAGACCTGCTCTGTTGCAGAGACAGAGCCATGGGTTGGATGGTACCTCTGTCTTCTCAGGCACGGCGCGCAGCGGACGGCCTGATGGTCTTGGCCAGAACCACTCTGCAGGACTCTTTTCCTGTGAGAACATAATACCAGAGCTTATAATGGCTCAGGATTCGCTTGAACCCAGATGTCTGACATCCAGACTGGATGCAGTCCAGACTGTCAAGGTTCTTTCTGCACATCTGGCAAACCCAGTTACAATTTGGTTTGTATTTTCAATACTGTTTAAGCAGCAGTGTACCAGTAAATGATTTATTTTCTAGTAAAATCTTAGACTCTAAGTAACAAGGAGGTATTGTGAGAGGAATTTGATACCAGCATCTTCCAGGTGAATACAGACCATGATGTTACCTTTTTGAGTAAATAATTGAGTTCATAATGAAAAATACCACTGAAGAGGAATGCTTAGTGTTATAGTCACTATGTAAGGAATGTGTAACTGAAAGCTGAAGTGTGTTCATACCTGTATTTTCAAAATTTATAATAAGGTTGTATTTGGAAAACAGTGTTCTTTCTGATGTGTTCTAAAGGATTTTATTTTGTAAGTTTTCTGTTGTTACTGAAATCCTGTTATTCCAGGAGTGAAGAACAGTAGGCATTTGATGTACAAAACAGCAGCAGGACCAGAGCTTTGACTAGGAATACAATGGCAAACCCTCATCTTAGAAACAGCTTTAGGATATTTAGAGCAGATATGGAGCAAGTGGTTTTATGGTTGATCATAGAGGTCTCATCGGAGGAAAAAAATAACCCCTTTAAAAATGGGCTCATGCTTCGTACTTGGTTTACAAATCAGAGGTGTGGTAGAAATTTGTTATTCATCAAGTCAGGATATGAATGCAGAAGTTCCTGGTTCTAGTCTCCTACCTGAGGAGTAACTCTTTCTCCCGGTGTAGAAAGGTCATAGGTTCAGAATTTTCTGGATATGGATACCAGAATTTTTTATTTAGAAAATATAGGTGTAGGAAGCTGTCAGGGTTTATTCTCCAATATTTCTGTATCCAAAAGGATCCCAAGTTCAGTTTTAATTGCTGAAGGTTCAGGAAATTGCATAGTTGGCCTGAAATCTCTGCTTTCTTCCATAAACCACTTCCTGTTTGGAAGAAGCTGAGTTCACAAATGTGAAAGTTATGAGAACAGAATATCTACTATTCTCCACTGCTGTATGAGGAAAAAATGTTCATTTATTATGGAGAATGGGGTCTAGTGCACAGTCTGCAACAACTCAGATTCGCCAGATTTGTGGCAAGACCTTTTAAGGAATAAATGCTTTGTAGATAGTGTATCCCAAGTTAATATTAATAATTTGATTTTAATAACTAGCTCAGTTTAGGAATTAAGCATCTGGTTGTAAAATGCTGAATGGTTTCCCTGAATATATGTTCTAAAATTAATCCTTCATGCTGTTTTTCTTTGATGCAGTATGTGGCTTTAAGCATGTACTGATGTGGCATCAGAGAGGGATATTGGTCTCACTATTTGAGCATGGCCATTTTGACTTGGTGTCACTTTTGATGGATATGAATCATGTAGTTTTGGAACATCTCTGTGAGGAGATTATTTGTCACATACCAGGAATATCTCTTGCTTTCTTACCACATCCACCAAAAATGACAAGAAAGAACTCCAGAAATAGGGCAATGATATTTTTATTCTTTTCTCATTGTATTGCTTAGTGGGAGCAGGAGCAAGCACCTCTAAAATCAGTAGAGGAGAACTGGCTCATGCATTGTTTTCTGTGTTGGCTTACAGCCGTAGATTTCTTCAGAGATAGAGGACAGTCCAATACTTTTTAAAGTTAACGTTTTTAGTAGGAATTTTATATATTTATATTGCAGTTTTTCATTTCCTTATTTTCTTCTTTAAGCATGGAGTCATTGCTACAGAAGATGAAGAGTATTTTATTGAGCCTTTAAGGAATATAACGGAAGATTCTAGTAATTTTAATTATGAGAATGGTCACCCTCATGTTATATACAAAAAATCTACTATACACCAGCAGCATCTCTATGATCACAGTCACTGTGGAGTCTCAGGTAAATAAGTATGAGTGTAATTCCTTTTAAAAAATTATAACTTTAGATGTATTTTGAAGTCTTCCTGGTTCACATGTAAGACACAGTGGAGAATGTAGCAATGGATATCCTCCTTTTGGGTGGTGTTGAAAAGTAATTTTGCTTTTTTTTTCAGATTCAAATCGACAGTATAGTGTCTTTCAAAAACTGAGACACTGGGAGTAAGTCTTGTTTTATGCCTGTGGTGTGTACAGTGATAGTAATGGGGACAGGCTTCCTCAAAATGTGCTATAAATGTACTTCATTCCCCCACTGGAAAGCATGATTGAGTGACCAAGTATTACAGCTCAATGTTTAGTAAGTGTTCCATGTCATTTGAGAAATCTTGACATGCAACAAGTGTGTTAGTATTATGATTAGTAATGCATGTGGAACTGGAGTCCACATCTTTGTTGTTTATGGAGGTTTATGGTGTTTTGATACTGGCTTTTGGTTCAGTGGATTAACATTATTCCATAATAGTCAAATACGTGTTTTACAGGTGCCCTATGGGAAGGATTATATGGTTCTGATTGGGAGGTAATTTTACATAATATAAACAAATCATGGAATCATAGAATGCTTTGGGTTGGAAGGGAACTTTAAGGATCATCTCGTCCAACTGCCCTGCAGTGAGCAGGGACATCTTCATCAGGTTGCTCAGAGCCCCGTCCAGCCTGGCCTTGGACACTTCCAGGGATGGGGCATCTACCACCTCTCTGGGCAACCTGTTCCAGTGTTTCATCTCCCTCATTGTAAAAAATTTCTTCCTTATATCTGGTCTGAATCTACTTTCCTTTAGTTTAAAACCATTGCCCTGTGTCCTGTTGCAACAGACCCTGCTAAAAAATCTGTCCCCATCTTATAAGCCCCCTTTAAGTACTGAAAGGCCACAATAAAGTCTCCCTGGAGCCTTCTCTTCTCCAGACTGAACAACCCCAGCCTTTCCTCATTGGAGAGGTGCTTCAGCTCGCTGATCATCAACAAAAAAATGACAAGGTTAGAACATTTTTTTATCTCAGAAATAGCTTATTCTTAAAAATTCAGTCATGGACAGTTGCCTTCCATGAGATTCAGTGCACAGGGCAGGCTGACAAATACTAATCTTAAAATAAAATAATATCCCTGTTCATTGATGTAACTTATTTCAGTTTCTTTTGGAGGTTATAACTTTTACTGACACCAGTTGACTAAACTTACAGTACAGATTGTCTACAAAAGCCCATGCTTGAGAGACAGTTTTTCCTGAGTGTTTCAGTTAACTGTGTTTAGGGAATGTCAGATTTGTGTAACTTCTGTTTCAGTTTGGAAGCATTATTCCATCTATGTGCTTCTAATATTGCAAAACAAGACTCCTAACTATTACTGCCAGCTAAGTGATTGTAAAATAAGAGTACTAATATATGTTCATTTCGTAGGGGAAGCTGTCACTTAAGCCTCTTGAAATAAATGGAAGGATTATGAAATGTAGGATGATGTGATTTTTACCATTATTATATCTCTAGAAAAAGAAAGGATATTGACCTCTGTCAGATGTTATCTTTTAGATTAATGCTTAGGAAGTAATTCTTCAGGTGAGAATGAATCAGTGACAGCTAGTTTGTTCAGGTTGCCTTCAGTCAGTCTGGTGGTATCGTTCGTAGGGATCATAGGTTGATCAGAGCTATGTGTCTTGCATGCATTTTTCCTGAAACATGCAGTAATCTTTAGCATTTATTCCTTTGCATATGTGATACTGCCTTTGTTCTTGGAAGCTCCTGCGTGTTTCCTGAGCTTTCATATGTGTCACATCCTGAAGTCCTTAATTATTGAAATACTAAAGCACTGCTTTTTACAAGTCTGAGACTACTATCATGCTCATTCATCTCAGTTTCTCCTTTTCCTGTTGTTCTGCGTACTACTTCCACTGTATGAAAATTTCTGAGAGAATTTGCTCTACCCCAAAACTACAAGGTCTTAGTTTTCCTGATGATGTGCTATTTTAATGTTCTCCTCAAGTGAACCAAAACCTTTTAAAGTAATTTTCTGAGCACTGTTGCAGCTTTATCCCAAAGTGACATGGCATCCAAAGCATCCCCAGAATATCTAAAAAGTAAAATCAAGTATTAATTTTCAGTTTCACACCTTTCAGATCCTAGGACTAAAGCCAGGTTTACAGTAATCTTCAGGGCATTTGACTGGTTTTAGAAGTTTGGAGCAGTCCGATTTTGTGTTTTAAAATGCAGTCGTAACAAACCTGTAGCTGCCTTTTGGCAGTATATAATTTATTTTGTTTGGAGACTGATTTTAGCTTTACCTTCAAAACAGTTTTACCAGTATAATGTTCTGGAAGGAATCTGCATGTGTAGCTGTGCTGCTATTCACAGTCTGGCAAGTTTCTGCTACTGTAATCCAGACCTAAATTTGTCATGTACCTGTTCTGTATCAGGAAGTGGTCACGATTTTGAGGTCTTGATAGAGACAAGGGGGAGTGTTATTTCTGACCTTTCTGAGAAAAAATGCGATAATTGATAGAAAGTGGAGTGGGTAATTTGGTGAGAGGATGATCAGAATTGGTTGGGATGAGCAAGTGATGGACTACTTCATAGCAGATAGTAGAATTATGGTGGCTAATACAAGAGAGGAATTGGAGAGGCAGGGAAATTCAGGTAAGAACATGGGATAGAGTTTTATAAGCTAAATTAGATTTTAAGCAGTTAGATACAAGAATCCTTAAAAAATATAAAATGTTAAATTACTACTTCATGTATGTATCATCACCAAGTTAACTATGTTTTATTAAATATAGCTGAAATCGTTAAGACCTTGGTAAGAAGTCGACCACCATCAAATTCCAATTGCTTCAATGGGATTTGAGGGCATTGGTTTATGTTGCAGAATGCTGTGTTTGGATAGGATTGAGAAACAACGAAAGTTGACATATGAAAGCTGCAGAATGGCAAATTTAGAGATGGCTCTACTGTATGCAGCCTTATGTAGTGGTTTTACCCATGCCAGACTTTACAGTCAGTGTATTCTAAAATGAAAAAATGCTTGTATATACGTTAAATTATGATGTTAAAACAGTAAGGAAAAAAGCAGCACATAAAACTTCACTTCAAAATTTTCTCAGTTACATCTCACATATGTAGCTTTCTATTGCGTTTTGAGATCTTTTTGTGTTTGTGTTCTCTCCTCTCTCTCCACATTCACCCCCACCTAACATCTTTGGAGGACTGGCTTGGGAAAACTTGGATACCATAGTTGTGAACTCTATGTCTACACATTTGGATTTCTTTTCAATTGCAACTTTAAACCCAATTCCCTGCTTTTGTAATCATTATTTTGGGGTTAATGACAGTATTTTTCTGTGTTTGTTTGTTTTTTTTTTCTTTCAATTTTTTACTTTTTTTACTCCCAATAGCTATGTTGCATGTTAATGAAGTTTAATTTTTTTCTTTTTTTAGTCGAGGAATATGGTGGAAAAATGACATAACTTGCCACAGAACTGAACTATTTTTGTTAAATGTATTGCAAACTTTTATTGACATGTTTTGGCTTTTTAAAGAAAATTCACTTGGCATTATTTAATGTTTGTAACGTAAAACAGCATGAGCATTGATAGATCCTGGAGTGTGAGTCTAAGTACTCAGGATTGTTTGCAGCTTTCCCATTAGTTTGAGACCAGCTGAAGCCTGAACTTCTCATCTGATAAGGAAAGGAGAAATATTTGTTTTTGTGAAGTCTCCTGAGACCTTTGTTTGAAAGACGCTGTCAAGATGAGCCCAAAATAATATAGAGAATATTTGCTTTTTTTCTCTGAAAGTTTTCTGCATGATCTCATCAGTTTTCAAATGTTTAGGATAGATTTGCATCTTTGAGTGAAAAATTATGAACAAATATGGAAGCAGTATTGCATTTCTAAAGTACTTCTGACACTCCAAGAGTATCAGAAACCCTCAAACATCATCATTTGTTATTTGAAAATGAAGCATGGATTTTTAAAAATTTTAGCATAGAAGTTGTCAGAGAAAATTCCAGACATTCCTAAATCACTGCTTAAGTGCGATGAAAATCTTTGAACAATTAATGCAACTTTTGAATTTCCTACAATAGAGATGAAAAACAGGAAAAAGCTTAGTGTTCATTATAGAGTCCTCAACAGGTCTTAAACACTTGATGGATTTTATTATGGATTATACCCATTGCAGAATGAGGACAATTTTGTTACTGGGTTTTTTTCAACTACCAGGTTTATTTTCATTTTTTGACTTTTCTAAAATATGCAAGTTTTAAAGCCAACACTGTAGCCTCAAAAATTATGAAACACTGCAACAGTGGGAATGCTGAAGCTTCGTATTCCTGTTTTTGACCTGAATATACATTCTTTGTGGTGTAGTTACTGCTCTTTGAAGACAATGTGCTTAGTTGAATTGCATAAAGCATTGCTTTTTCATGGAAGGTACTGGTCCTATCTCAACTCATCCTTAGCTGAATCTGTTTTAGTAGAGGTAGGAGTGCATCTCAGAAATTGCACACTTGAGCAGTCCTGTTCAGACAATTATAAATGTCTCTAACTGTTAATGCTCTTATGTTCATCCATAACTATGAAGAATATCTTAGATATTTTGAAATCCTACTTAGGTAAAACCGGACTAATAACATACTTTGGTAAACCTGAGATCTGTGTGGGCCTTTGTGGAGAAGGGATGTTTAATACACACAAAAATGCCAGTTTTGCAGGGAAGGGTGGGTTCAATTTTGTCCTGAGGGCAGGAATTCAAATTCAGACTAAGTTTGTAATGTTTGTTCTGCTGATAATTACAGCTGTTTGGATTTTTAATAATCAATCTCTTGCATACAAGAAATTTTTTTTCTATATATTTACATGAAACAAGTATAAGAATCAACATATTTGAATTAAAATTAGTGTTGAAAATAACTATAGCAGTTATCCCAGGTCAGGCTATTTTAAACTTTCCATTATAGTTAATTGATGAGGTAGATAAAACATAATCTGATAGCTTTCTGAAGGGAAAACGAATTTATTTGACCTGAAAACTATTAGGCATGTAAGCATAACTGCCTAATAATTACAGAGTTTCACAGGAGACAGAAAGCTTTTTTGGTGCCTTATCGGCGTGTTTAATTCGTTACTATATTTTGATACCTTTTACCTTGATTTTGAATTTCTAGTTTCCAGTATGTTTTTTCCAAATGTTATATCTGTCTTGTTCTTATCCTTAAAATTCTGAAGTATGCTTGTGGTTAATTATAACTAATCTTTAGAATTAACGTAGATGTGCAGAATCAGATCTGTTAAGAGAAGATTGATGATCCTAAGTCAAGTTAAGGAGAGCTGAGAATATTGGAACGCAAAGTTGGTTTTCCATTATATAAGGTATTTTAAAATAAAAAAAAATTAGATAATAAATTTAATTTTTCTTTGCCTCAAGAAAGACTTATTTTTAGAAGCTTGAAGATGGTAATCTCAAAACAGCTGCGTTTGAATGAGTTTTACTAGTGACCCTTCTGAAGTGTTTAATTGTTTTGGTTTCTAGAAGACCTCACAAGAAGCGGTAAACCTTGGTGGATGAGTGATGCATCTGCTTTTGCAGCTTCACTTCCAGTCAATGACACGTTAAAGAGTCACAGTCGACAGAAGAGATCAGTAAGCCTTGAACGGTTTGTGGAAACGCTGGTAGTAGCTGACAAAATGATGGTGGGATACCATGGTCGCAAAGACATTGAACACTACATTTTGAGTGTAATGAATATTGTAAGTTTCATCCCTCTTTGTGTTCATATTGATATGCATGTACTGAAATGATAAAACAACTGTAAAGTATTTATTTATTGACATGAATAATGCTTTAAAATATGTATCAGCTTGCAGGAATTAATAGTTGAAATATGGCAAATGTTAGCATTGTGAGAAAAATGCAGTACTGTTTTTGTCAAAAAGTATGCTGTGATCACTTTTAAATTGTTAGTCTTTAAAATTAAATTTGTATGATTACATTTAAATTATACAGGTCTATTCTGTTTAAGTCAGCAGTATAAATGCTCCTTGTGCTGGATGAATTATCAAACAACCTATAACCAGTTTTGATTGAAAATTGTGACCCAAGAAGTTTGTCTTACTGAATGGTCATATTTTGGTCCAAAAATAACTCTTATTCAGGTGATAATGATAATTAACATTATGAAATTAAATTGGGTGAGAAAATAGGTTAATTTTTAACCATTTAGGAAAAAAGTAGTGTTTCTTGTCTGACTTTATGCCTTTTCTTATTTTCTGGAGGTCAGGTTGCCAAACTTTATCGTGATTCCAGTCTAGGAAACGTTGTGAATATTATAGTGACACGTTTAATTGTCCTCACTGAAGATCAGGTAAGAGCTGTTGCGCTAAGCTTCATATCCCTGAAGTACAAATTACGTTATTATGTAATATAAATTTCATTTAATTGCTGCTTGAAACGGCTGCATATGAGTACAAAACCCATCTTGTAATCTTTCACTACTTTAATCGTGATGAAACAGTTCAAAGGAATATTCCTCATATATCATCTCAAAGATACCTGTTTTTACTTCAGGTGAATATTAATACACCTTCGGGGATGTCAGTTTTATTTTTAGATCTCTATTTTGATATTCTGATTTTTTTTTATATTGACATAATCTTTATTAAAGTTGGAGCAGAAAGAATGCCTGTTCAGTAATACACAGCTGAACTTGGGGACAGATTTTACAGAGATAAAATTTGGCAAGAAGAGTTTATTCCTAGAAACGACTGCTTCTAATTATAGTCCCATTTTAGTTTTCAAAAGGCTTGACAACTGACCTTAGTAATTTGTTTGGAACATTTCTGGTATGCATGTTGTATTGCAGCCAAACTTGGAGATAAACCACCATGCAGACAAGTCCCTCGATAGCTTCTGTAAGTGGCAGAAATCCATTCTCTCCCAACAAAGTGATGGAAACACCATTCCAGAAAATGGGATTGCCCACCATGATAATGCGGTTCTTATTACTAGGTATGGTCATTATAAGTATTGTGTTTGTTTTATTTTATTTTTGTAGCTTTCTTGTTCCTACCTTATATATATATAGATAGATATAGGCTAGTTGTAAAGTAATATAATTGATAGGTAATCTTAAGAGGAGGAAACTTAGTAGATGGCTTGTCTTAAGTATATCAGACTATTAAACTAGAGATTAAGGATTTGGAAAAGTAAGATCTGCAAATTACTTGCTTCCACTGTTATTTTCACTTCGTAACTGCCACTGCAAAGTATTCTAGTAGAGCACATGGATCCTATTGAACATTTTATACTTTTATAATTGAATTGATAAAATTATGGAGAACAAAACAGTATGGAAAATGTTTTGTTAACTCTATATAGTCTTTTTATAAGAATTTCAAGCCAGAACCCTAACTAATGTAATAGTATCTCTGCTGAAAAACAGGTTCCTGCAGATCCAGGCAATGTGAGAATCTGCTTTGTAGCTGTTTTGATTTATTATGCTTAATTAAGATGAGAACTGACAGTTTTAATATGTAGTTTCAAAGCCTGCATATGTGCCCATTTGTTTGCTTCTCTTCCACTGTTACTGTGATAAATTCAAGAAGGCTTGCACTGTAATCTTGCAGTCCTGATAATTGTATTCCTGTTTGTCCTTTGCGGTTATGGGTAGGCAACTGTACATGATTAGGTGATCAGTTTCCCCGTTGTTTAAGGACACTATTTATTCTTTTCTATTTTGTTTAAACAGCAGCAGGTGCAGCAGCACTAATTTGGATTAGGACCTTTTTATTGTAGTTCCTGCTTTCCAGGACAAATTCTGTACTGCTTTGTATGTGACCTGTTTGTGGAATCATTGTGTTTATTGCATAAAACTTTTAAATACTGATTAAAATAATGGATCTTTTCTGGAGTTTTGCCTAAGAGATGTAAAAGTGGCTGGGTGGTTGTTGTTGGTTTTGTTTGTATAAGGAGCAATTTTTTTTTTTTTGAGAAGAAGTAAAAGCTAATGAATCACTTGCGTGTATTTTTACATTCATATTTCAAATATAATTGCTACATGTGGTCGTTTATACTACATAGTAACAATTAGAATGATTAAATGCCAGAGTGTTTTAGAGAACTGTTACAGTTCAAGAAGTTAAAAAAAAAAATATTAAAGTCTCTAATAAAAATAAATGGAATTAAATTAAAAATAAAAGACAGTTACATTCTAAGATCTTGATTTTTCACAAAGGCCTTCATTTATGCCTAGTTTTTTTGTATAGAAGCAATTCCTTCACTAGGGCTGCTCACGTGAAACTAAATACATTTTTACAGCTGTACTACACATGAAACTTTTACTGATATAATTTGGGCAGTGAGTGAAAAAGCGTAATCCATAGGCGGTATGGTTGTGTCAGTTGAAGCCCCCCAACACGTACGTATAAGCTGCATTGGCAACACTATTTTTACTGTTATGGCTGAATAACTTGATCTTTTGTTAGTGTTATTCCAGCACTGCAAAGCACAGCTGTTTATGTTCTTTCACTATTGTGCTTTAGTACATTTTATTACCGTATATTCTGTACTGGCTTCCCTGTTTTGGTAGGATGTTCCCAGCATAGTTATGAACAATTCTGTATTCCAGATGAAGGCTTACATCAGTGCTAACTTACAGGCCTTTAACTGCAAAAGGGGCAAGTTTTCAGAGAATATGAATAATACCTATTGAAAATTAAGTTTTTTCAGCAAGAAGTAGTAAATATTAGGGACTTATTTTAGTCTTCATTATGGGGGCTTAGTAGTTATATGAAATGTTATAAAAATAACTTCCGAGTTTACTTCTAAGAAGTTTACACTTCTAAGTATATACCTGTATTTTAAATCAAGAGTACCTCAGTGTAGTGTCTGTGGGCTAGTAATACCTACCTTTATAAAGCACTGCTGAACTTTTAAGTTCAGTTATATATGCTTTCACAATATATTCTTTGATTTACTGTAATAATTGTAATTTCTAAAAATAATCCTAAAGGCAACACTAATCAGTTTAAATGGATCAATCAAGCTTTTACCAAAAGTGCTAGGTATCCTGGCTGTTACTAATAAAATGTATCAGCATATGTGAAGAATGGATTTTTCTTTTTTAGGTTGGAATGAATAAAGAGAAATTTGTATTAATATAAACATGTAAATCCATTAACTTTAAATAATTGTAAATGAATTACTGAAATGGTAACATGCTTGTTTTTGTTCTGTTTTGGATCTCTTGCCTGATGAACCAGAGTTAATGCATTACGTGTGAAAGAGAAGGGTATAGCTGTAGTGCTTTAAACTCCTAATGTGTCGAAGAGGTCTTTAATAACCTCTTCTACCTGAAGTAATTTGAACCTATACTGCCAAATATTAGGTTATTGTTTAGTTAACGCTGTAATAGTGTTTTGAAAGCAGTTTGCTGAATCTGTCCCACTGATGCTGCTCTGCTTTGTATGGGGTAATTACATTTTCCATTGAATTTGATACTGGAACCGTTTTTGGTCATTGTGTGTCTTACTGTTTTATGGAAAGTAGGAAAGTTTCAGTTCAACACTGTGAATAGTCTTGTCTTGATAAAAAACAGATTTTTTCAGTGAGTAATCGATGTATTTGAGAGTGTTACCTAGTCCTAGCTGAGTGTTTAAGTTTGCAACTACAACAATCTTTATCTGAAAAGTGGGACAAAGTTGTTAAGAAAAGGAGTCATTATCTTCATCCACGCAAATGAAGACAGCACCTCAGCTTTTCTTAGCAACAGGTGGCTTTTCTCCATGGTACTTTCAAAGATGGCATGCTCTGGTCGGGGAAAAAAAAACAGTATTAAGGGTGCTGATTCCCTAGGGGTGTCTGCTTGACCAATAGACAGACTTTGCACCCTAAACTAGCTGTATGCTAAAACCAAGTAGCCTCACTGCATAAGGGTATGCCAAGCTAATCTAGTAAGTCTCATGGAGACATTACTATGCCTGCTAAGCCACTGGTCTTTGCACAAGAGCCTTCCAGTGTTCAGGGTGCCTGGTGTATGGGCTTCTCTGTCATGGTCCACAGGCATCCTGCAATCTGCAGAGCACTTATTTTACTAAGTGGATAGGGGATTGCAGAAAACTTCTTAACTGATAATAAAAAATAAGACAGGTAAGAGACTGGTCCAAGTAAAAGCCTGAGTCCCAATCAGGAGAGCAAAATTGTGGTGAACGAAATAGGGTATTACTTGCACAAATATGGTAACAAAAATACCTGCATTCTCAAATTACTTCAAATTACTCACTGTGGTGAGTATTGGGACTGGTTTAGCTTCTTTGATGGTGCCAGACTTTATGCTGTAGACATAAAAATAATAATTAGCAGGAACATTTCTTGATACTGTTGTCAGCAAAAAAAAATTCGCTGGGGAGCTTCTGAACATCCCTGAAATTGGTAAGAATTAGATACCCCCTTATAATGGGATCCTGAGGGTAGGTAATAGGACTTATACAGAGGGCTTATTACAGAGTCTTGGGATGTTGGATGACTTTGTATAACAAGAGTAGCAATTACCCAGAACACTGATAATACTTTTGTGTGTGTTACAGTGCTTTTGCCTTCTCTTGCTCGTTTACATTTACGTTTGTATTTTCTTAGTCTTAAGTGCTTAATGTTATTTCCAGATAAGACTGTGACTGAATTAATATTCTAAACCAATGAGACCTGTTTTTTTTGTATAGTGCTTGCTTTTTGAAATTTCACCTAGATATTTTCTGTTGGAGACTGTATTTGAGTCTTTAGTAACTTTAATGTTTTATCCTCTAATTGTCCAAATTGGGTTCTTGGGGGCAGGTGAAAGTAAAATACGAAGCAGACAGGTTTTAATTATGAAGCTGATTAATAGTGTAATGCTGTTAAGCCAATGTCATCTTTTTTTCCTTGAAGTGACTTTGACTTCAGATAAACCTAGCAAATTCTTAAAATTCTTTCGTATTACAAATGAATGAAAGTAGAAGGAAAACTTGTATGATTCTCTTATCTCAAGTCTTTTGATAGACAAAAAGTAGTCTTTCCATTTGGTTCCTGTATTCCTGTGTCATGGATGTGATAACTTCACTTTTTAGTGCAATGTTGGGTTCTCAGATTTGGCATTTTAAGACTCAGTGTAAGTTTTGAGTCTCTGTATGTTCTTCCTTGTGCATCCCACCCACGGTGTAGAAGTATCTGTTTGCCTTTTCGAAAGTTTGTTCTTGTTTATTTGCTGATATTTTTTTTGACCTTCATTGGTAATCTGCTTCCTCTTTTTGTTTCTTCAGAAACTCCCTAAGAAATAGTCTCCATAGTTTACCTTAAAAACACAAAACTTCAGAGACCGCAGTGTACGCTATGATATTGTTACTTATTTTCAAAGAATACTTAACACAGCTTCCATTTCAATCAGTTGCCTCCTTCTTTTGATCTTATAGATTGTAAAGAATGAATTACGGAGTTCCTCAGCAATACCTTGATTAACTTGCAAGCATATACGTTATGAAAAAAATTATTCCTTGTCCTGTGTACATGCACAGAATGGTAGGGGCCAGAGGGCTGCATTCTAGATTACACTTTGTAGCAGAGGTGGAGAAGATGACAGATGACATAAAAATGCCTTTTTTTTTCTTTTACACTCTAAGAGTTCTCTAGTACTACATTTCTATATAGTTCAAAATGGTTAGTTTGATTTGTCCAGGTGCTAAATAGTTGTTTTTCCAAATTACGTGTGTGACTGACTCTCTAAACTTTGCAGCAACTGAGTCATTTCCTGTTGGGAGGGAAGATCCAGAGCTATTAATTTGCCTTCTAGTGTGTCAGTAGATCAAGTAAAAGGCATACCAAACAGCCCACAGAGAGGAAAGTTTCGGGGGGAAGTTGAGGTGCCCCTGTGTGTGTGTCTATGTCTCTAAAGGGGCAGAACTTCGTCTTTGATACTCAAATGTTTTAAACAGAGAAAGCTCTGAAGCCTCTGAAACCTTACTTGCTTAAAGAGACAGTAC